AGGAGGGTTCCCACGGGTTAAAACCAGCCAATGCTGCTGCTGGGGTTGGCATTGCACCACGGTGCCACTGGGATGGAGTGGTCCTTTGGACACCAGTTACCCTTAATAAAGGCTCCAGACTGGTGTTTCTGGAGAAAGCAAAGCCAACGTTCAGGCAGAATAAATGGTGCACTGAGAAATGCGCCGCGGCCTCGGGTGGGTCTGGGGCGAGGGCAGCGGTACACGGGGCTGGGGAGGAGCGCTGCGGTCGGCGCAACGGCTGAGGTGCTCCCAGGGCTAGTAAAACCCAGACAGATGTAAAATTCTTTCTGTAACACAAACGTGTGAAAGCGCACGAGCTGACTGTGTCTGAAGGTGGGTACATTGCTTAGACACTTCCCTCGGCTGGACGAACAAGTTTTCAAACGGCTTCGTCGCTGTCGTCGTGGGTGGCTGATGGCTCTCGCGTGGGGATGGGTGCTGGTGGTACCGAGGTCGTCGTCAGGTTTACGGCCCGTACGCTGTAGCAGTGGAAGCGGGACCCTGGGCGAGGGTCACAGAGCAGTGCCGGTTGCTGCCCGTGGTGGCATCGGTCAGTGGAGGAGAACACCAGAACCGTCCCTCAGTGCTGGGGCCGGCGGGAGGAGCAGGGCGGGCTCTGCCCTGGTGGGGCCGAACACCGAGAAACATCCACGTGCGTCCCGCTCTGCTGGGAACCGTCCATCAGCACGCTTGTGCCTGTGAGAACGCGGCCCCGATCCCGGTGCCACCATCAGTATATCCCAGGGTAATGTGCTCTGTGACAGTCTCAGAAATTGAAGTTGCCTCTGGGTTCCTTAAATTCGTGCATCTAAACTGCACCATCTTTTCTTTAGAAGGAGAAAATGCACATTTGGGCAACACAAATAAACCTCTTTCCTGAGCCAGAGCGCTTCCCCGTTGCCCGCATCTCAGCTCCGCATGCCGTCCCTGCCGCGCTCTGCTGCAGGCAGCGCTCCCTCCCAGCGCGGGAGAACCACGGCCGCGTTCCGGCGAAGGGCTGGGAAGTGCCGTGCGGGCTCCTCGCACGTTTCCGTCTGCCCAGGAAGAGCTGAGAAATGTCTTCAGCCCCTTTCTGTGGGACTGTTCGCATTACTAAGGAGTAATGGGCACTTTTTGTTACAACTTCGACCCGACGCTGCTTTCTATAAGCAGTAAGAGCTTATAGCATCAATAGTCCAGTATTTTACTATACAATGTACTAAGCTGCTCTGCAGAGCGCTTATTTGTTTGATTAATTTTTGTTTTCTGCAGAGGTTTGCTGAGAGCGAGACTTTAATCACAGTGTAGTCACTTAAGAATAAGTTATGGAATTATACCTGAGTAATATTCATTCAGCGAGGACTCGAAAGACTAAATCCATCATTCAGATCCGGTACTCCGCAATGCTTTTATCACTAAAATTTGCTAAGTACTAATCTGATTTTTTTCCCCCCACGTTGCAGGTGCTCGAAAGATTATTTCAGAAGGGATTTACTGTGGCAGCTTCGTGTGGCGGTGGGGTGGATTCCTCTCAGTTCAGTGAATACGTGCTGTGTCGCGAAGACAGACGAGCACAACCGACCCCAACAATCAGAATAAAACAGGAGCACCTGGACTAGACCCTGCCCGTACCCCTCTGCAACCGTAGAAGTGTTTAATAGTCCCTTATGTGAAACACTAAGGATTTGCAAAACAGTATTAGCAAATGGATTTTGACTTTATGTTGCCGATTAGTGGTATTCCGAAACTACCTGTCACACAGCCAGCCATGAAATGCATTTGAGAAACCAGTCGTCCATTTTTCACGATGAAATCCCTGCGCCGGCTCTGTGCACCAGGCCTGCGGGGAGCGGACTCCGGGCCGCACAGCCGCGGCGGTGAACCAGGCGAAGCGGTGTCAGCCCCTGGCCCTCGACTGGCCTTCCGCAGAAAGACCAGTTCCCCCAGCTGGGACAGAGCAGCGGGAGG